TCCGGGTGATAGGCGGTACCACCGACCAACCTGGTCGCGCGCCCACAGACCAAGTGGGGTCCGCCATGGGGATGGGGAAAGCTTTCACCCCTGTCACTCAAAGTCTCGATCTTGATAGTCTTGGTCAGCAATTGAAGTCAAAACTACAGCGCGGACAGAAATTGGTGCGCAAACCAGCCAACAGAGCAGATTGGTGATGATATCAGGCTATGTCCACGGATGCTTGACTTGTCTGGATCCCCGGTAGCTCTGCGCGCAAACACATCCGACCTTGGCTACACCGCTCGTCGCAGCCTTTAACCTGGGGACATACCTTTCCAGGGTCGAGGCAAGCCGGTCCAGCCAGTACTTAGGTGGTGCTTTTACTCACAACTAGTGACCTTATAGCCTGTTCGAAGCTTAGTCTCCAGTGCTAAGTGTGGCAGCACCCTCCTCGGAGCACACCCCTCCGACGAAGTGGCATCAGCCAACTTCAACCACCTCGTTGCAGGGCTTCCACCGGCGACGGAAACGACGGCTCCGTCCGGCGCCATCATACACAATGTTTCCCCCTCACTTGCAATATTTTTCGGCAACATGCTGTCATCACAAGTGAGACGTTGGAGGAGCATGGCAGGCACATTACCATTGCCTGCACGTCGCTGCCGATATAGTAGCCTTTCAAAATAATGTACAGGATGAAATCTGGCCCGACTTGAGAGTTCTGGTCTACTATGAAGTGGCTGTCGGCGATTGCGCCGTCAGGGGAAGGCCTTCCAGGTGGCGGTGCTAGTAATCTCGAGTAGCAAGACGGCAGGAGCATAGGAAAAGCACTGAATTAGTACTCTAGACAGAAACTTCAGGCGAGCCCGACATATTTTTGCAGCTCCCAGTTAAATTTTGCCAGAAACCCGCGACTATTGAAATGCGTGACGTAGCCATCAAAGCTAAAGTTGTCTTGTCGTCTCTTTCTTCCCCTTAGCACATCTTGCTCCTCCGACTCCGACTCATCATCGCTCACATAGCCCTGCGTTTCGTTCTCGTCACGGGTTGGTCGCCGTCTCTTTGAAGGGTCACCCGCGGGGGTTGCAGTCTGCAGCCCGTCTCCGTACGGAAGAGGGCGTCATGGGGGTGGGATTTGCGCCTTTCGTCCGTGATAGAGTTCGAGGTCCTCAAAAGGGACGAAGACGCGGATACGAAGCGTAGTTAGGTGGATGGGCAAGAGCCGCCAAAAAGTCGTGTATATGCTTCATGAGTAGGATACCGCTGCCGCGACTCCACGTCTTCTCCCGTGCCTGGCACAGCCGTCGCGCGCTGTCGGTATCGCTCTGGGCGAGCCGCGCGCTTTTCCTTTGCGTCGAAGGGGCATAACGTTAAGACAACACATCAACCCGCGGTATTCGGTTAGTAACGGGAACTCCCTCCTTTTCATCCCTTTCTCTCGCCACAGAACGTATTACTGTCCGTAGATGGTCATATCCCAAGCTGCCATCTCGTGATACTGCAATCCAATACCTGGACTCTGCTGGAAAATGCATTATTCGATAATAGTCTAAGACCGTCGAGTCCGAAATTGAAACTGATATATCGTAGAAATTCGGCATTTCCGTCACGTCATCGAAGTATTTGGAATGACTCTCATCGGTGACGTAAATGGAGATCGAGCGATCAGAAGGCGAAACATCACGGGTCTTGACCACTGGAGGGCGAAAATCGTCATCGTCTAACTGGCAGATGATTTTCTGGAGGTGCTGGCCAGCTTCCATAGATATGCCCGGGAAAAGCTCAAGGCGGCGTCTTGTATCGGCACTCTTGAGCCAGCGCAGCCAGCTCCAGGGCATGACTGCGGCAAGCGAAGCTTGGTTGTTGCTAATAAGCCGTCGGCTTTCCGTCTTTGAGTCTTCCCTCGACTTCTAGAAAATACTCTTCAATTCGATATTTTGGGCTGCAGAGTAGTGTGAGTGTGCATTATGAGAAAAGATATACTATGGACTACGGATACGAAATACTGTGACTACCTTGGCGTCTCCGCCTGGGGAAAAGGGTTAGTCTGCCAGCTGAGACACTTGAGTCCGCGGTCGCGAAACGCTGTAGTGAACGAGAATTGATGGATTCCATTTGCATGAAGCTTACAGGGGAAGAGCTTCGTGCAACAACAAAGGCAGTTTTGAAGTTCCTGGGCCAAATGTCATCTATTTTGACGGCACTCCATCTTCAGAAGCCGACTCTCTTCAAATGTCACTTCCTAAGCTGCCTTTTCCTATGTCTTTTCCTTTGTCTTTTCCTTAGTTCTCATACGCCTCAAAAGATCTCAGTATATAGTTTTACATTACGGCCTGCGAAAGTATTATTGAGTTTGGTATCATAATGTGAGAAAGATCAGGAGGGTTGACAATGTCCATTTTTGACACCTTCAAGCCACATAGTCTGTGGTATCAAAAACCAGTACAATGCGCTACGGCATCACAGGGATTGTATGCAGCAGACGGCTGTATCCTCTGGTGCTGTTCAATAAGGCCGGCACATCCGCCTTCGTTTATTCGTCAGGGCGCGTCCCGTGCCGCTGTCAAGTCTTGCAATTTACACGGCCAATCTTGAAATTTACAAGCTGGTACAGAAAGCCAAGACAGGCCGTTTTTTAGCCACCCACCAGACGTGAACGGAAGCTTCCCACACGACCGAAATGAATCGGATCAAGTCACCGCAACGTCTCGAAGAACAGCCACATCCAGGGGCCACTACCGGGGGAGCCTAAGCTAGATCAGCGGTTAGTATTCAGGAGTTTTGTTACGCCGATCAATTTTCACGAGACTCAGGGAAACATCTTCGAAATGACCGTGCCGTCCCATGCGTTTCCTCCGACCCCGGGGGGGGGGGGACACCATTTACGCAACGAGGGAACTACCGAGCTTCTTGTGTCTCGAAGCAATCTTTCGCGATCTAGATGTGAGCAGCGAGATCTTTCTCGCGAGACTCTATACATATCTTCTACTACAACTCCAACAAGCTTCGCAATGTTTGGGTCACTGTATCCCTAGCTCGAGAAGGAAGAGGCTGTGCGCAAAGCTGATGCTGTTGATCAGGCTTGGACTCTTGGCCTGCAGCCTCGAAAGCAGCGACCCACGGGAAATGGACAGTCGACACGCAGGAGCCTGCACGGGTCAAGTTTCGAAAGGTCTGCAGAGACCTGCATGTGGTGAGCGCTCACACTGAGGAAGGCATTGACTTGTATGGTAATCTCCGTTTCCTACATGGTAAACTATATTCTAGGTGTTGCCTTTTACTATCAGAGTAATACAAGTCACATTGCAATATTATCACAATCAAAATTGTAGCGGACCAGTGTCAGTTGTAGCCCTCCTCCAGTTCCTCCTGCTCGAGACGCTGGCAGATCAGGTCTACCAGTCCGAGAAACGGCTGCGGCTTGGTCGCAAGTTTCCGTTTTGGTTAGACCGTGAGCCTTTAGCTTGATTAGATTCTTTGACATACTCGCAAGCCGTTGGCAGTGTAATAACGCATTCCGTCATCACGCACTCTGTGGCAAACTGATGGTCGACCGGCCTTTGGCACTACGCAAACACGCTCATGACGAATATTGACACTTCCGCAAAAGCCAAAGCAGCAGAAAGAAGCCCCTATATAGTCGCAGTTGATTATACATGAGTACCATCAATTTTCCGAATAGTCGACGGCCACTGCAAGGCTCAATAGAATATGGGCAAGGCCGTGTAGCATCCATATGCCTCGGGACTACCAAAAAAAAGAGTTCTAGCCACAACTCAGACCAGCTGTAGGAGGCCAACTGCCGCCGCCATCCATGCTCGAAGATGGATTAGAAGACAATAGGTTGCCCAAACCAGGCATATGTTAGTGAACAGTTCCTCAGATTCCGCTTTCGGGAGGAGGGCAATACCTTGGGTATTAGCAAGGTACGAGGTAGTTGCACTACAGAGCCAGTAGCGATCAACAGAGCCAGTTTCAAACAGATATGACAGTCCTGCGTTCGGAGGCGTCGATAACGGGAGGGAAGGCCGTGGGACCTTGCCAACCAGCGAACCAAGCGCTCCGACTGCTAGGAGATGCAACCCCCACCCCTCTGAGTGCGAAGACTTCAGCACATATTGTGAGCCTGACAAGGATGCCGGAAATCGGGTCATGTTCCCCGCGTCTCTGTATTTCGGCGTAGTTGTGGGCGTTAAGAGTACGTTGCCGTACAGGGTCTTTTCTTCACCACCGATGAGTATGTACCTACTACCGCCTTAAAACTCATCATTATGCTCGTCAGTGACTTCCTGAAAGATTTCACGCATTCTCAGGGATGGGTAGGGTCAGCGGTAGACCCGGTTGCCGATTGCTCGTAGCTGTCCAGCGGTCGGCTTGGACACGCACGCCACCGCATAGACCCATGGCTGGCATGGTTTGGGCTGAGCCCTTGTTTTACACGCGTACAGCCTTGCAGGCCAGAAAGCAAACATCAGGCCGTCAGGCGTATTTCTGATGTATTTAAATTGTCGCATGCCCGGTCTCGTCAATCTCGCCCCATTCAACATTCACATTTTCGCCTGCTTACTGCTGAACCATGAATATCCTGACGGGTGGGGCAGCCGTGGCCGAGCCGGCTTATCCTTATTCCGGAGGGGTTCCAAATACTGTGAACCCCGCGGATACAATCTTGCCGCCGGATGGCAACATGCAGTACATGACGATAGCCCTTGAAAGCGATCAGATCGAGCTTGTCGCGACGGCGGCTAAGACGCTCAATAAGAACTCGCTAGAAGAAAGCTCCGAGTTGTCGAAGCTTCTCAGCCTGCTGAGGGAGACAATCGTATGTTGTCTAGTCTTCCATTTCAATGAAGAAACTAACGAGGCAGTTGGAAAAACTACGAAATCAGAACCTCCCCGTTGAGAAGGCGCAGCTTTCGCGACAGGTGAGACTGATGCCTCGCGAAAGAAAGTTCGATGTGAAGAAGCACGATTTCGTATTCGCAATCCTGCTGGCGGACTCAGAAACAACAAAACATGTTACGATAATATCGCCCATTTCTATCCGCTACAACTGGCCTAAAGATACTGCCTGTATTTTGCCTCGTGAATGGTCGGTCTTGCCTGGAAAAGAAGATTTGTATGCGTATTTGGTACCAATAGGCTTTGAATGAGATCAAGATCGAAGTATCAAATAAATATATATTAAGTAAATGTTTTGGTTCGAGTAAAAAAACGCGTGTCATTCCACTTGCCCGAATCTGTTAGGCCAGGATCAAGGGTTCATTGAGAGAATGCAACTCCGAGTCATCCCAGCTTCCCAGCATTTCTGAATTAGCCATCAAAGGCTCGTTGGGAAGATGCAAGTCCGAGTCATCCCAGCTTCCCAGAATTTCTGGATTAGCCATCAAAGGCTCGTTGGGAGGATACAAATCCGAATCATCCCAACTTCCAAAAAGTCCCGGGTCTGTCTCGTAATTCGCGTTCGTTTGCGGTTGCGATAGAATCGCAGATGCGTATGGGTCGTCGGCCGGCGCGTCGTGTCGCGTCCTTTCGAGTGGCTGGATAGTGCTTTGTGTCCGTGATTTGAGCTTCAATGCGTTCTTTTGCTTCTTCATAGGAAAAGGCACATCATCGCTGCAGCTCGGTCTTTTTCTGGATTGAGAAAGAAACAATCTTACCGGAACAGCAGCGGGGAGCACTAGCGCCACGTCATGTCCTCGCAGTGCAGTGTCAGCGAGGGAAAAAAAGTGCGGTTGAGTGTGCTCGTTTCCGATCCCGTCGTCGTTAAGGCCCCAGGGGAGGCGGGCTGCGGTGCATCCAAGCTGGGTATCGCTTCCATCGAAATCTTCTGCGTGGTGTTCGTGAGGCCGGGCAGCGGGTTTCACACGCAAGTGACAACTCGGCGCCCCGCAACCTTCCGGGTAATAGCAGCTATGATACTTGTAGTATATGTATGTGAGGTAATATGTGATTAAAATCTCGAGTTGAACATTTTGATCGCTTTTTCCCTCTTCCGCGATGGCCACAAGGCTGACGCTGGTCGGGGCGCCTTCGCGCTTCAGGCAACTTATGAGCTCTTCAGTTATCTTATGACCCTCATACCTATGCCGTCAGTTTTATTCTATCAAAAGAAAGTCATGGGCTCACATGGATGTGGATCTGGGGTTCAGTCGAGCGATAGTGCCGCGACTGGTCTCATTCAGTATTTCTTCGTAATTTCTCCCGCGACGTAGTTCAGCTGTAATGAACTTGTTCACTTCGCATTCCTCTAGCTTTGGGTCTTTTCGAAGCTCCACCTCGATAAAACACGATTTCACGTTTACTGCTGAAACGTGATCGACGTCGTTGGTCCTATGATTCTGTAATAGCACGAGGGCCAGACAGTGGAGGCGTCGGGCTATGGTAACCGAGGTTAACGTTAATTCAGTAGCGTACCGGATATCGATAATGTCCTTGGACTGCTTCAGGCTGCAGCCATGGTTTTCGAAGAAGGCCGCGGCTGATTCAAATATGACTGCTCGAGTATTCTCAAAAGCTGCAGTAGAGAATAAATTCTGAGACAAGACCTCCAAAACATCTTCGGCTGAGAATGGCGACTGAAAGGACTTCCTAGATGGTTGAGCCAGAAGCTCGAGCGTACTTGAAGCGTCAAGCAATGGATATTTGGCCAAATGTTTCGCCTCACGTGTCGCCGGGATGTTGGGCGGCGAACTTGCTGTTGTTGTAACTACTCGGTTCGGCCGCTGAGGGTGTGTGCGTTGTCGAGTGATTGCTAGTGGCTCGTTAGGCAGCTGCTCAAAGACCGGCAGTCGCTGATTATCTCTTGTCGTTGATTTGCGAGCATGATTCGGCGGTTCGAGAAATGACCGTGAAGTAGTAGCATTTCCCGCCAACTGAGATGATATTTGTTGGTGAGGGGGCGTCCGCGAGGCCGTCATGGACAAGCTGTCTCGACTTGTTGGCAACGATCGAACTGGTTGCATAGATGGGCCAGAATCAGCGTAAGGCATAAGATGACAACGAAGCTTTTGGAGTAAATTCCATTGCGTTTCGTATGCCAAGTCTGGCCAGAACATCTGAAAGAAAAGCGGCAGGCTTTCCGGTTTGTCCCAGGAGATGAACTGGATGTGGGCCATGCTGTAGCGCATTAGAGGTGCTAGTTCCAGGTTGCACAAAGACGGTGATAATTGGGTTCTGACCCCTATTAGTTCTGGCTGGGGCACACATGACCACGCCGGATCCATGCTTGGGGAGTAGCTGGGATTTCAGAAAAATCTGAAATCCGGCGTACGAGGAAATGATCGTCGGATAGCCCACTTATCACGCCGCGCACCGCTGAATGCCCTGATGGTGGAGGTGGGGTTCATGCCACTTATAGGTTCTTCGCCAATTAGAGCGTCGCAGAATTATCGGGCGCTTCGGCTGCATACCCGTGGTGCACTAGGCCAGTACACATTTGACTGAACGGCCCAGGGCCAAGGACATTCCTATATAGTACGAGAGCGATCCGAAGGCAGAAATGGCCTTTCGTGCAGACCTTACCACCACTCAACATGACCCCTCAACATGAAGCAGTTCGACGCAGAAGCAGACGCCATTGAAAATGGTGTTATCTGTGTGCTTGGCATCCTCTTGTATATCGCTACCGTTCATCAGCGCTGGCGTCACCTCAAGGCCAAGCCTGGCGGGGAGAAGTGGTACTGCCACATCTCTCTCGTCCTCTTGTCCATTTTCGTCATTGGTAGCATACTATGCTCGTTGTGGTTTGGTATCGCACGCAGCCGCGACTCACCGGCGCGCGTTCCCAGCGTCATCTGGAAAGCAATAATGGTCTTGTGTCTCACCGTCTCTAAGGTATGCCGCTCTTTACGAGTATTGCTAACTGGCTGACAATCACAGCTGCATATCTTCAATCAAGCTCTACGTCCACAGAAGCTCATCGGGTACTATGCCTGCATATCAATTCTGCCAGTAGTCTGGGTCGGGGTTAGTGTCTGGCAAAAGCGGTATGCTGCGCTATGGGTCTTTCCGGGCTGGATTTACTTGATTTGTGCGGCTGCTTTTCTCATACAATCGGTCCGAATATGCAAGCAGGCTTGGAGTCGACGTCGCTGTCTTATGCTTGGTCTGATGAATGCGCTCGCTGGGACGTTGACTGCTGCGCCAGGCATATTTTCGGTTCTGATTGTGACGCCTCCATTTTATTTCGTCGAGCAATGTTTCATTATCTTTCTTGAACTGACCCTTACGGTTGTGTATGCCGAGAAACAATTGAGGGCCGTTAGAGAGGAGGGAATCAAGCTCCAAGAGCAAATTAGGCAAGGAGTACACAATCGAGCAAAGATTCGCCAACCGAGTGAGGCTTCGGAATACTGATAGTCACATATTATCCAGACCAGCGAGTGTCTGAGACAAAAACAAATATAGCGAACAAGAGCCTGACTTGCATATCCCTTTGGCAGAGGAAAAAGGAGCAAGCAGGTATTTCGCAGGGGTCCTATCCAATCATGTAACGCTAAAACTCTAGGTACTTGTTTCTAGTAATGATTCGGCAAATCGAGAAAGTACTGTGGCGCACGACTTCCTTACTAGGCACACGGATAAGGCCCTCTCTAGTACCTTTCCGTCTCTTACCCTTGTGGATCTCGTGACCTGCTTGCTGCTTTTCCACTGCCCAAGGGATACTTACTCTCCTTATGCATACTATCACTTATCGCCAAGCGCTCAGTAGCTAGCTGTGCGGATCCCAGTTAACAACGACCCGCAGATGCTGAATAAATATATGTGCGGAGTTGCCTCCTATATAGCACCCTGCGAGTCTCTCCCATCTCGCCCGTTGCCGAATTCCCGGACGAGTCAATTCTGATAGCCTCGATCTCTAGTGAGGATGCAGCTTCTAATCTGGTTGTGATCATGAGCGAGCTAGATAAAAGCTGTGAATTATCCGAGCGTGTCATCGCTGGTATGAAATTTGAGAGATGTGGGACATCTGCGTGGTGGTAAGTAAAGCTTGTCTTTGACCTCTATACACTAATTATTGGAAGTCCCATGAGTTTGGATGCTGCGACGTATCCTTGTGATTAGTATGTGAGCTCAGACTATTATTTTGCTAGCACTAATATCAATAGTCATTGCGATATGTTATCGTTCGACGACAATCGACTCATAAGCGCACCCGTCAAGTGGCCTGTCAGGATTCTTGACGTTGGAACTGGGCCTGGAATACTGGCGGGGTAAGTACCTTGGGATTCACCGCAACGCACAACTAACATTATAACAGGGAGCTGGCGAAGCGCTTCCCAGACGCAGATGTAATAGGACTGGACTTCTTCAGCAACTCACCAGCCGAATTTCCAGAGACTTGCGAGTACCAGTCTGGCAACATCGATGAGCCTTGGGAGTTTGAAACCGGGTACTTCTGTCTCATCGTCATGCGGAATGTCGGAGTATACCTCAGACATCACAAATGGTGTAGAATTTACAGCGAAATTCTACGCTGCCTCAGACCAGGAGGGCATTTTGAGCATAGCGAGATAGACATCTTGTCTGACAAGCCAATGGTGGAGCGCTGTCTACACTATGAGCTCAGCCGGACAAATTTCCCGTCTCTCCCGGCGTGGGAGCGCTACGAAATTTTGTCAGCTTTTGCTTCTCTCTTCAGAGGCCGGCATTTCAACATCGCGCACAATACGCATAACCGATTTACCGAGGCTGACTTTGCCAACATCACTCAAGAGAAGTCGGGCTCTCAGCCTGCCATCTCGACGGAGATCTTGGGAACCGAATCGCCGCTCTCCATTCGATGTTGCAGAGCCCCAATTTGACGAAAAATATATACAGCAAATCCCAACGCGCGCGGAGTTGTTTTGGGACAGTAATGCGCGACACAAGAATAGCTTTGCCAGTCGGTAGTCAGGGTAGTTAATCCACTAATTCAAAAGGTCCAAGTAAAAGGCCTAGTTTCTGTGCATCTGGTGTAAGCATTGGTACGTAGTCTGGTATTGTTCGTAGCTATAATGTTACCTTCTCGGTAATCTGCCTTGGCCTCCGCGCTTCATGTCACAGTAGTACCCTTGCGCGTCCACGCTCTACGATAGCTCCAGGTGCTGTATTATCTCCCTTGTGAGCACCTCAGGAGGTGCGTACGTACTCAAAATGATTCTTTCCCGTGGCAGCTTCGAATCTCGAGCTGCGTGGACCACTAACTACTAGAGAGATGCAGCCCGGCATGAATCTGCATACGAGTACCCGTGCGGGGATTGTGGCGTACTGCTGGTTTCAAATGGCCGGAACACTGGCTTGTGTCATCTCCAGTCACACAGGCTATCCCGCTATAATAAACGATAACACATTCACTCTGGTCAGAGGAGCTGCACGAGCCTTTTGCTGTTCAAGCGGGCTACGTCCCAGCTGCAGTGGTGGGAGGCAGGCCGTTGTGGCTGCCGCGTGTGCAAGAGATGCGTGCAGCTGCTGGTATCTAGCTTCAATCGGCCTCTTGAAAAACTACTCGAAATAAATAGACCCTGCACGTTCTCTGCCACAATCAGCAGGGTCTGCCAGTAACTATCATTGTCCCGCGCTCATATCACATCTGATTCAAAATAAACCCCACATCTTATTTCACTCTGGCTGCCTTGCCTATCCGGCACATTTGTCGAATCGCCCCTCTTCGAGACGCATCACCGATTAAGCAACTGCCTTCTCCAGGAGTCGTCTTTGCCTTCTTCACCTCAGCTCCCTATTCCCTTTATTGAACTACTTCATCTCCTGTCATACGCAATGGGACGTGTCCGCCTCATTTGTAACCAGTGCGGCAAAGTGAGCTCTTCGTCGATGCCCATTAATATACTTTCATCATTGCTAACGGCTCCTCTCATGACAGAGCTTCGGCCGGAGGGAGACCTTGGACCAACACTATAATGTTCACACTGGCGAGAAACCTTTTAGGTGTCAGGACTGCGATCAAGTCTCCTCTAACGTATGGCACACTGGGACATCCGCATCCCTCATTAGTCACTGACACCCTCTCTAGTCCGCAAACTTAAGAAGGCACAAAAGACGCCAACACCCGCGCGACCCCCCCGCTCACGAAAGTTCGGGCGTCTCATCCTACTCCTCCATCATACGTGATGCTTCACGCGCCCCTACCCAGCCTGCCATGTCTGGGCCCGTCTGCGACATTACGCCCGGCCTGTCCACGCCTCAGGTCGATGCCTCCTTCCCCAAGATTAGCCAGCAGACATATCAATTATACATGCAAAACGTCGACGACTCTTCTGATTCGCAGCAACATGCCATGAACCAGCGAAGCCACTCCGTTCGACCGGCTTCATCCGTTGTTGAGCACAGCGAACCGGGCGCCACTGCCATGAGCACCAACGTCCAGAGCAGAACCGTCGAGTTAGCTTTATTTAACCACGGCTTGGTCACACCAGGCCAGAGCCCTGACCCCATCGATGTGAGCAGCTACATACCTCCAGCTCCGTGGGACACAAGTATGTCTGTCAAACCTGCTACCTGTGCAAATTCATGCCCCTTTTTATTATCTTAATCGGCCTTCCTGTGCGTCTGTCAATGAGCAGTATCAATTGATCAGCCAGGCGCTCTCACCCGCCCCTGTTCCTGCAAGCTAGTTTATCTAGCTTTATTGATTGACGACTACAAACTCTAAAAGGCACGCACGTGGAAAGATAGCCTGTCTGCCTTCCGCAGCCACAGGCTTTTTTCCCTGGACACGGAGAGGCCCTGCCTAATAATATGAAGCTAATTTCTCTTGTGTGCAGATTTCGCTCTAAACTCTGCCGACATTTCTGCCACGTTTGATTCGCAGCCGCAGCATGTTATGTTTGCTGTCGCAGAAGAGCAACATTTAG